AGATCCGACTAAACAAATTAACAATAAGATTAACTTTCTCGTTAAATCGTGGCGTGACAATGATTTAATCGACGAGTCGACGTACAAATTTCTAAGAAACACAAGTGGAGATATCTTCGACGTTGTTACGAGCTTCCGAAAATGCATAGAACTAATTTTCCTCTAAGAATTATTATCTCAACTTTAGGCAGTCCTCTATATAATTTGGCTGATTACATACATGGCATTCTGGTCAAATCAACACAGAAATCAAAATCACACATTAGAGATGGTTGGTCTTTCGCTAAAGTTATCGAAAATAGAACGATGAATGATGGCAAGATACTGATATCCTTAGATGTCACTTCCTTGTTCACTAAGTTATTCCTAGTAAATTGATGTTCAAGGCGATTGAAAAACGTTGGACGGAAATAACCAGTAATACTAAATTTAACTTACAATAATTTTTATATGCGATTAGAGTAATCTTAGAATCAACGAGTTTTAAATTCAATGACAAGTTTTATGAACAAGTTTTTGGCAGTCCGATTAGATGGGATCTCCGTTTTCTCCGATTTTGGCGGATTTAGCACTTAATGACTTAGAATCCTAAACATGTTGGATTTCACAATTCCTCTGTATTATAGATATGTAGACGACATCATTGCTATTATTCCGGAAGACAAGATTGAACAGGTTTTCACGAGTTTCAATAATTACCACACTCGTTTAAATTTCACACACGAACTAGAAAACAATGGGTCATTTTTTTCTACATAGTGACGATAAATTATAAACATAATGATTATTTTGATTAATATTCCAGTATTACCTTCAGTCATATATATGAATTAACGAGAATTTATGTAAATTTTTTAAGATGTAAACGTCTCTAGATGTAAACGTCTTTTACATTTAATATTGTTTAGAACTATTTAATTTATTTTTCATTATCTTTGTTTTTCTGACACAGTTGATATGTGACACTATTTTTAAATGTGTTCTGAGTTCTGAGTTCTAAAACTAAAAAAATAATAGAATATTCATATAATTTTATAATCTAAATAAACAGAACTTATATATTATAATTAATATGTATTTCTTTAAAAGTACGTTTTTTAAAAGTCTTTAAAAGTTTACGTTTAATATAAATTTCAAAAATTGTATACAAAAGATATTTTAATAAATATGTAGGTACTTTATGCAGAAATAATAATTTTCTTCAACAAGTTATTTTTAGTATAATAGCAATATAATTATATAAACAATTATTAAATATTAAAAAAAATAAAGAAAGTACGGCACTATATTAAAGCCATTATTGGCATTGAATATGGGCATAATAAATTAACTAACCATTAATGGCTGAACATTGTTCACCATGTTTGGCCGCGTATAATTATCCTTTATCGGACCGAAGTTATCATTCCATAATATTCCCATTGATAAGCCAGTTACGATTGCTATTACCGCGCCAATATAAGTAACCTGGTAACCAATTTTGGGTACTAGGCCAATTGTAAAATCCTATAATGTATAATAGATAAACTCTAATAGTTAACCAATTAATGAAAGGTGAATATCCAAATAGGATATTATAAATGTAAATTATTTTATATTTAATTAGAATATTGTATGTTATAATTAACGATAGGTTAACGCCCGAAATTTAATGATATAAATATATATTATATTCTATTTAGGTAAATTTTATTTGGAATTTTAAATTAATATTTCAAAACCAGAGGTGAATGTCTATAAATATAGATAGTCTAAATATATTATTAGGCGAATGTCTAAATATAGATAGTCTAAATATATTATTATTTAATGTAGCATATTATTATTTAATGTAGCATATTGTAAAAAACGGATAAAGACAACGTCGACAATTTATGCATGTCTAAATATTATTGTTATAATAAATGCATATGAGTGAGTTGGATGAATGAAAAAGAAATTAAATAAAGTAAAATGAGAACCCCTCAGGAGTGTTATTGAGTTACGGCGAAATAAATCTTTGATAGAATATGCGAGCATAAATAAACCCATTAGTCAATTAAAATTTACGTAACAGAAAGTGATTTTTATATTGCTCATATCAAGAATATGTGTCACTAAAAGGAGGAAAAATTAAAAATATATATTTTATATTAATAGTATATTAGCTAACAAGTGCGGGGGATCGTAAATCGGGCGAGACGACCCGCACATGTTGGCTACGATAAAGGCTTCGCCTCGTGCGCCAAACTTCCGCACTCTCGGGCGATTTACGACCCGCACATGTTGGCTACGATATTTTGTGACCGGTGCGTGGAAAGAGCCCTTTCTAAAATCCCATCAAAGGGCGACTTTCCGCGCGCCGGTTGCACAATAACTTTTTTTCTTTCTAACTCTCTTTTTGCTGTCACTATCGTAATCAACCTTAAAAGGATTATAATATTTTATACAACAAATTAATATTATAACATTACTATTCTTATTGCTTATAACACAATATTTTTTTTAATTAATATATTCTTATATCTAGAGAAATATTTTCTTATATCTAGAGAGAGACATGCTAAAGTCATTATATATTATATCTATCTTCACAAAAATTCTATCAATAAACGTAAAATAACTTGATACTTTTGACAAATGTAATATATCGAGTATAGTATACCTAAAAGTTACCACAAACAAATAAATCAGTATAATTTTTTTATACAATACACATTTTAAAATAATCAAAGGAATAAAAAAATATCCAAAAAAATAGACAAATTTTAGAGACTTTGGACGGTATTCATAGTCCAAGCTTAAACATCGTCTTAAGATTTTCTTGATTAAGATCGTCTTGTTTGTATAAGTATGACTTGAGACTTCATGTATTCACAGTTTTATTTAAAATGAGACGATCTTCATAAAAAAATAAGCACTTCTTTTTATTTAAGATTTTTTTACTGAAGTTAGTGCTTAAGATGATCTGATTTACTTTCAGTAATCTTCGGGATTTTTCTGATGTATCAGCCAATGAAATGTGTGTTTAAATATAGAAAAATTTAACGAGTTGTATGTCTATACCATTTATTCATGTATCAAATTATTGCAGACTCTAAAGTATTGTTAGAAAGTGACTTTTCTGTAAAAAAAAAATGTCAAGCAAAAAACATATAGATCCCGAAAAGAATTCTTCCTTAAAATTTTAACAAAATATTCTCCTTGAAAAAAAGTGATACTACAACTTTGAAAGACAAAGAAGAAGCATGGAATCAAACTTGCGATGCATATTGTTACAAGTAAGGTAAGAAATATATTTTTTCTAATTAGGTATGTTAAATGCTAAAAATAAAAATGTTAATTATATCTGAAGAAAATCTAATATGATATTTGCGGTAGATAGTTTCATTTTTAAGCTAGATTTTAAATACTTTTTATATTCAAAGTATTTTATTTTTAACATTTTAATGTGTAATAAATTATTACAGAGAAGCGTTCAATTTAGAAAATTATGGGGTAATTTAAAATCAGTACAGAGAGATGTCCTTACGCAGGAAAAACATGCACGTTTATCAACAGGTGGTGGACCTGAACCTAAATCTGCAGAGATTGACCCGGACATTGCCGCAATAGCACCCAATTTAATGACAATTGCGCCAACATTATTTTCATCAAATTTATCAGATAAAATACTAGAAGGTAATTTCATCTTTATTTTATTTATTTATATTATAATAAAAATTGAAAAATTAGTAACAATGAATATTTTTCAGAACGACAACAAAGAATATTAATGATTGTATTCCTGAGGAATTAATTGAAAATGTGGAGAGCATAGACTTTATTGATGATAATTTCCAGGAAGTTAATAATGATTCTATTATCACACTTCATACAAATGATAAAATAATTAATTTTATTGATATTTTCTATTAACATATTTGTTTATGAATAAGAATTTAGAATTTATGACAATGACAATTGAATGTTACAGACTCAAGCAGTAATGAGACTGATAATGCTGAAAAAGAAAATAATCCAGTAAATGCAATAATTAAAAATAATAATAAAGATAAATTTTATTAATATATTTATTTTTAGACACACCCCTCTCTGTGTGTGTGTGTGTGTGTGTGTGTGTGTGTGTGTGTGTGTGTTGCGTAGTATCTTAAGCATATTAACAATTTGTATTGTACTGGTGGAATCGGCAGACCACGATTGTTAATTTTTGCTCTAATCCTTCTTCAATTTTTGGTAATATTCCTTATAGGAGGAATCCTTATTAATCTATAGCGTCTTTTAAATTGTAAATTATTATAAAAGGGTTTTAAAAAGTCCATCACGAATGTATCGTTTTCGTACACGGTCTCTCTACTTGAAAATCACGATCAATCAATATTTTCAATATCATCAATTTCTTCCATTAATTCCATAATATTTAATAATAAGCTTATCTTAAAGTCATGTACGACTGACTTGAAAACATAATCTTACTTTCTAATAAACACGATCTTATTTGATTCAAATAAGACTAGTGATGGGCAAATAATCGATTCATAATCGATTAATCGATTATCTAAAAATAAATAATCGAAAACAATCGATTAATGCAAAAAAAAACTTAATCGATGTTAATCGATTATTCAAACAATAATCGACTATTTTTTTCGTTTTTTCTTGTTCCTTTGAGAATGAGTTCAATTAAGGTGCAAATTCATGCTCACGCTCATTTTCAGCATCAAAAGACGTCACGTGATCCAAACTAACAAATTGGGATCGACTTAAATATGCGTATTGTGTGTAAGTATTTACACTGGCCAATCATATCCATTTCTCTAAAGCCCGTATCAGAAGGCCGACTGACTTTCATCTGATCAATCACATCAAAGTTCTGATAGAATTTCAGTTTGTGATTGGTCTGAACGCGGCTATTGGGCAGTAGTAGTGCTTAGTACGCGTATGACCGTATGTCATTGCAAACAAGACCAGTGACTCTATGTACTATGTACGTTGTACGTATTGCGTAGTGGCCGTAGTGCGTGTTCGCAGTGCGTAGAATATTTAGAATCAGTAATCAGTAAAGGAAACTCTAATTTATAAAGTGTGGTACGTATATATTTATTATAAACTTGTGGAACATCTCGGAATTTATATTCACGAAAATATTTTTTAATATTTAATAATAGATAACCTTCAGTCGCTGATCAACCATCTGTACCTGGATAAACATGTTGAAAAATTGGATAAAAAATAAAAAAAATAGGGGAGAGAGATTACAAAATGAAAATGATAATGAAGGTAATTTTATTAAATTAATATAAAAATAATATAAAAATAACTTTTATTTAATTTATAATAACTAAAGTTGTTATAGTAGCATCATGCAATTATTCTTTCAATAATCATTTTTTCTTAAAATATTAGAGATAATAGAGATGTCTACTTCAGAGAGTGAAATAGAAACTTATAGAAGCCGATCAACTATATCCAGTAAAGCTTCTTTTCTTTCTCGTGTAAAACGGTAAGACATTTTTGTGCTACAGATCATTATAAAAAATATTTGTATATACACACATCTATTATCTTTGATTTACAGTTCTAAAGCATCCTTATGTTTTGGAAATGTTTCTGATAATGATAATACAGAATGTTTGAAACGCATAATAGAAACTACATGTAATAAAATATTATATCTTAAATAGAATATTCTAGAATATTCGCTTCCGATCGCAAGTCAACAGGCATATCGTTTTTATATGTTTTTTTTTTTTGAAAACATATCGCGACATAAATTATCCTGTCGTACAAAAACACGCTCGAAATATAAACAATTAACGGTGTCGCAACCGTTCCGCCGAATAATTATATTTTATTGAGCATGCGCGGCTTCTCACGGGCGCCTCGTTTCGCCAATAATCATCGTGATCGCCAGCTCGCGCATGCTTTCTAACAGCCGTTGTTCTGTCAATTTTGACAGCGGCCAATTACGCGTAATACGCTCAGGTCACCTCGCGCAACTTTAAAAAGACGCAAAATTATTGGCGCTTCCCGAAAAGGTGGGTTTTTTGCGGAAACCCATAAAAGAGAGCTCGCACCCGAAATCAGGGCCTTATCGCTTTTTCCGCCGTGAACCGCATAACGCAACCGCAGATTTGTAAAACCACAGAAATTCGTTGACGACCGCCGCTTATTCCGCACTTTGATTTGAGTTCGATTTTCTCTGTAAATTTATTAAGATTGTAAAAGTTTGTTAAAGTGTTCGTTTTCTAATTGTTTTATAATATTAAAGTCAATTTAATACAAAGAGTGACTCATCCTTTCGTGCAGCGCGATCCTTTCTCTCGCAGCGCGTTCGTGAACATATTTCTGGTCCTTCGAGCCGGATCCGTCGCACCGGCAACCGCAAGTTCGCGAGCGTGACTTCTCGTGTGAGTGAAGGTGTGAACGTCTGGGTGTGCAGCCGTCATGGATGTGTCCACGCTGGTCGATTGTCAGCGTGAGATTCAAATCCGAATCTCACGCTCCGTAGAGTACCTGAAGAAGCTGGGCAGCGCCAACATCACCACCAGTGCTATCGCCACACGCACCAGAATCCTGGATCAACTGTGGGCAAAGTTCGAGACGCAGCACGACCTTATCCGAGCGGCCCTGAAAGACAAATTCAGTGAGAGCGAGTATTTCCAATCAGATTTCCACGCAGATACAGAAAATCTGTATGTAAGTCAGCGAAGCATACTTGATGGCTACGCCGAACACTTTCGTGCACCAAACGTACCTCCTTCTGCCGACGCCACGTCAAGGTCATCACTGCCGCGTATCAAAGTGCCGCCATTTTCTGGTGCCTACGCCGATTGGCCGTCGTTCCGAGATCTCTTTCTCTCCGTCGTGAGTGGCAATGCGATCTCCAACATCGAGCGCTTTCACCACCTGCGCTCATGTCTGACGGGGCAAGCTGAAAGGTTAATAAGGTCATTGCCTGTCACCAGCGACAATTACGATCGCGCTTGGGCGATTCTGGACAAACACTACAACAACAAAAAGGAATTGATCCGCTCCAACTTCGCCACGTTCATCGCCGTGCCGAAGATGAAGGGAGATACCGCAGAAGAATTGAGACGCATTCACAACGCCGTGACTGCCGCCGTCAATGGTCAGGAGAGCATCGGACGTCCAATCAACACCCACGGAATGGACCTCTTCAACTTCCTGGTCACCGAGCTGTTTGATGCACGCACACGTCTTGAGTGGGAGTCGTCCACGTCAGACTCATCAGAGCCGGCACAAAACGAGGCACTTGTGGACTTCATCAGCCGTCGGATCCTGACGCTCAATGCCGCACGACCGAAGAGCGCCAGCAAACCGCCCGGAGATGCTCCACGGGTAGCCAAGGCACACGTCACGAAGCACCAAGGAACCGAGTCGCCGCACTGTGCCCTGTGTCGCGAGAAGCACACCTTGATGACCTGCCGAGATTTCAAGGCCAAGACTGTCAACGACCGCAAGGCATTTGTCGAGAGTAACAGGCTCTGTTACAATTGCTTAGGCAACCATTTTCTCTCTCGCTGCCAGTCAAAGAAGAACTGTCTGACATGCGACGCACGACACCACACGATGTTACACGGAGCACCCACATCGTCAGCGTCAACTGAAGCCACACGCGCCACCACACTGACCGCTACGCTGCAAAATCCAGAGTGCAAGGCCGTTCTTCTTGCAACAGCACGAATAAACGTCGCCGATCGGTACGGATCACCACAAGCCGTACGCGCGTTGATCGACCAATGTTCTGAGGTGTCGATCATTTCGGAGACCTTGGCACAACGTCTTCGCCTTCCTCGAGCCTCAACGGGCCTCTCCATTTTCGGCATCGGAGGGACTCGCTCGGGATCCGCTCGTGGCAAGGTCACGCTGCACGTAACGTCAGACGTGACCAACGCCAAACTCAGCGTGGTGGCCTTTGTGCTGCCCCGCATATCGCTGCAGCAAGGCTCGGTTTCGCGGGAAGAACGCAGCTGGCCTCATCTCAACGGACTCCAACTGGCCGATCCTCGCTTCTTAGACGACGACCCAGCTGAGCTGCTACTGGGAGCCGAGGTCTATTCCTTGATCCTCGAGGAAGGCCTCCGCAAGGGTGAATCAAGGATGCCGATCGCTCAGCAAACCAGCCTGGGATGGATCCTCTCTGGCGGCTACGACGCAGCAGCAGTCACGGGACATCGCCGCACCTTCCGGTGCACCGCCGATCATGACCTCGCCGACTTCGTTCGACGCTTCTGGGAGCAGGAGAGCGAGCCGATAACTCGGGCTTCACTCACTCCCGACGAGACCAAGTGCGAGGAACTCTACGTGCGCACCGTCACGCGCACGCCCACCGGGAGATACATGGTGAGGCTGCCCTTCTCATCGCCGCCGACGACTCTTCAGGATACTCGCCGCCCAGCGGAGCGCCTACTGAAAGCCATGGAGACCAAGGGCAGCCGAGATCTTCGATTTGGCGACCTCTATCACGGCTTCATGCAGGAATACGAGGACCTGCAACACATGAAGAAGGTAAATACCTCAACAACAACGGAGAATTTCAGATGCTACTTACCGCATCACGGGGTCCTGAAGGAATCGAGCACGACGACAAAGCTCCGAGTCGTGTTCAACGGCTCTCAGCGCACACGGGCCGGTACTTCGCTCAACTCGCAGCTGCTGACTGGGGCAAACCTTCTGCCAGCGCTCACCGACGTGTTGCTGCGATGGCGTTGGCACCGGTACGTCTTCGTCACCGACATCGAGAAGATGTACCGCCAAATCCTCGTACATCCTGAGGACTGCCGTCTCCAAACAATCTTGTGGCGTCACAACAAGACGGACGAGATCGGAGAGTACGAGCTGCAGACGGTGACCTACGGCATGGCGTGTGCACCGTTCCTGGCCATCCGAACTCTGCAACAACTTTGTGCGGACGAGGGAGCGCAGTTTCCTCAAGGTGCCACAGTACTTCGGCTTGATTGCTACGTCGACGACGTGGTCACCGGCGCGGACAACCTCGACGATGCCGTCAACCTCCAGACGGAGCTGCGCAACCTCTGCATGGCGGGCGGATTTCCACTGAGGAAGTGGGCCTCGAACCATCCAGAGGTCCTCACAGGAGTCCCACAGGAGCATCGGCTGCAGCAAGGACCACATTCCTGGGAAGGAGAGAGCCATTCGACATTGGGCCTGCGATGGCGTCCTCAGGATGACCGGTTTGCCTTCGCAATACATCCTCGGCCAGTCAGCAAATTCACGAAGCGACGAGTCCTCTCCGAAACTGCACGCCTATTCGACCCGATGGGCTGGCTCGCGCCTGTCGTCATTCGGGCGAAGATCCTAATCCAAAGCACCTGGCTTCAGCAACTTGATTGGGACGCTCCACTGCCGGCCAAGGATGCTCGACATTGGCAACAGCTGTTGGATCAGTTGCCGCTGCTCAGGCACATACGCGTGAATCGCTGGCTCAGCACCGACAACGATCACTCGAGGTTGCAGCTCCACGGTTTTGGTGATGCTTCCGAACGAGGATACGCCGCAGTAGTCTACCTCCGCACCACTGAAAGGGGAAAACCGTCAATCAATTTAATCATGGGGAAATCCAAAGTCGCGCCCGTCAAGCCAGTTTCGTTGCCTCGCCTTGAACTGTGCGCTGCTGTGCTACTCACCACGTTGACGTTGCATATCCGAAACACCCTCGGCTTGACATCAACTCCAGTGCACCTGTGGTCCGATTCCAAGGTCACTCTCCATTGGATCCAGGGACACGCCGCTCGCTGGAAAACGTTCGTCGCCAACCGGGTGGCTCACATCCAGACTCAGCTCCCGGACGCTCAGTGGAGACACGTGGCCGGGAAGGACAATCCTGCAGATTGCGCATCACGAGGAATTAATCCGGAAGAGCTAGTCAATCACACGCTATGGTGGACGGGACCTACCTGGTTGGCACTGGACGAGACAGCATGGCCCAGCTCAGAAGTCCACATCGCAGAGGATGACCTTCCTGAACAGCGCACCACCAGCCTGATGACCAAGGGCTCCGTCGTCGTCGAACCGGACATCCTTCTTCGGTTCTCTGCGCTTCATCGGCTGCTACGCGTTACGGCCTGGTGTCGTCGATGGCTCAACGTGGCGAGCCGAGAGGTCACACTTGGTCGTCCGCTGCATCCTGACGAGCTGGACGCCGCCCTACTTCAGTGGCTTCGAATTGTGCAGGCACTCCACTTCCCGGACGAGATAGCCGCTGCCACTGCGGGACGTCCCGGTCCACCACGCAGTTCACTGATCAAACTCAGTCCATTCCTCGACGACCAAGGTGTACTGCGCGTAGGAGGGCGCCTCAAACACGCTCTGCTGCCTTACGACGAGAAGCACCCGGTGATCGTTCCGCCGGCCTCCTGGATGACGCGACTGCTCATCGAGTCCTGCCATCGTCGGTCTCTACACGGCGGCGTCCAGATGACTCTCGGCTTGCTTCGTCATCGATTCTGGGTGCCACGAGGAAGGACCGTCATTAAGCAGCAACTTCATCGGTGCGTCACTTGCACTCGCTGGCGAGCGGCCACTCCACAGCCTCCAATGGGCAACCTTTCGCGTGACCGAGTGACGCCGACTCGGCCATTCCTGAGCACTGGCCTGGACTACGCGGGACCCATCTTCATCCGGACCAGCAAGGGGCGCGGACACCGCTCACAGAGAGGATACATAGCTGTCTTCGTATGCTTTGGTCGAAGGCTATCCACCTCGAAGTCGTCTCGGACTACAGTTCCGAGGCCTTCATCGCCGCCTTACGTCGTTTCGTTTCCCGCAGAGGCCTCTGTACGGACGTGTACAGCGACTGCGGCACGACGTTCGTCGGCGCCGATCGCACCCTGCGCGAGCTCTTCAAGGCGTCATCTTCCGAGGGCCATCACATCGCTCGCGCCGCCAACAATCAAGGGATCCGCTGGCACTTTAATCCGCCAGCGGCCCCTCACTTCGGTGGTCTGTGGGAGGCTGCCGTAAAATCCACAAAGTTCCACCTCCGTCGAGTAATCGGCGAAACCACCCTCACATATGAGGAGCTTAGCACACTCCTCACGCAAATCGAGGCGTGTCTTAATTCTCGTCCGTTGCAGGCTTTATCAGACGATCCGGACGACACTTCGGCGCTCACACCAGGCCACTTCCTCATCGGGGCGCCACTATTAGCCGTACCTGAGCCATCGTCGACTGGTCAACCAGCATCCACACTGTCACGCTGGCGTCATCTCCAATTGATGCGAGACCATTTTTGGCAGCGTTGGTCAGCGGAGTACGTGCACGGCCTCAACCCCCGCACCAAATGGGTCAAGTCCGAGGCCGCACCTCACGTGGGGGACCTCTGTCTCATTCGTTCGGAGCTCACCCCTCCGACCCGATGGCCTCTCGCACGGATCACGAGACTGCATCCCGGGGACGACGGTATCGTCCGCGTGGTTTCGGTCCGCACCGCCACATCCGAATTCGTGCGCCCGCTCGTTAAATTAGTCATGCTTCCGGGCGCGGATCGTATTCCTGGCATGACTAACGCGGACACATCGTCCGCCGGCACATAATTCATCTCGCGACACTTGTCACCTCACACACTGTATCACTCATCACATCTCATTTTTTACCTCATTTTTATCTCATTACCGCACTTACATTTCATCCATCACCGCACTTACATTTGATCCATCACCGCACTGATAATTGTTCCATCATCTCACTGCACTACACAACTCACCAAACACGCGGTTTCATTGCCTCAGCTGATCACCACATGTTCATTGTATCAGCTGATCGATTCAATTACCACGCGATCATCACGTGTATTTCTCCGCGCCTGCGCGTCTACCCCACCATCGATCAGTATCGACTTGCTATTCCGCGACCGAAATACCATAAACATGTTGTCACTGCGCGACAAGGCGGGCGGGAATGTTTGAAACGCATAATAGAAACTACATGTAATAAAATATTATATCTTAAATAGAATATTCTAGAATATTCGCTTCCGATCGCAAGTCAACAGGCATATCGTTTTTATATGTTTTTTTTTTTGAAAACATATCGCGACATAAATTATCCTGTCGTACAAAAACACGCTCGAAATATAAACAATTAACGGTGTCGCAACCGTTCCGCCGAATAATTATATTTTATTGAGCATGCGCGGCTTCTCACGGGCGCCTCGTTTCGCCAATAATCATCGTGATCGCCAGCTCGCGCATGCTTTCTAACAGCCGTTGTTCTGTCAATTTTGACAGCGGCCAATTACGCGTAATACGCTCAGGTCACCTCGCGCAACTTTAAAAAGACGCAAAATTATTGGCGCTTCCCGAAAAGGTGGGTTTTTTGCGGAAACCCATAAAAGAGAGCTCGCACCCGAAATCAGGGCCTTATCGCTTTTTCCGCCGTGAACCGCATAACGCAACCGCAGATTTGTAAAACCACAGAAATTCGTTGACGACCGCCGCTTATTCCGCACTTTGATTTGAGTTCGATTTTCTCTGTAAATTTATTAAGATTGTAAAAGTTTGTTAAAGTGTTCGTTTTCTAATTGTTTTATAATATTAAAGTCAATTTAATACAAAGAGTGACTCATCCTTTCGTGCAGCGCGATCCTTTCTCTCGCAGCGCGTTCGTGAACACAGAATATTCAAAAATTCAAAGAAAGAATTTAATACTAGGTTTGTAATTAATATTTATATTGTATAGAATGGTTTATTTTTTTCTTATGCTGAATATTACTAATATGTAATTTTTTCTTTTGTTTTGTAAATAGCAATAAATCTGTAAATAGTGTAAATAGCAGTATAAATAGTATAAATAGTGTAAATAGCAATATAAATAGTAGCAAGCAAGAGAAAAAGTTAAAAAAACGGTACGTAAAAATCAAGAAACAATACATTATTTTTATTTACAGACCATATACAGACTATATAAAATGTGTATAATTTTATTAAATATTAAATTTTTATTTTTAAGAATGTATCGTACAAAGTCTAATGCATGGGATTTTTTTACAAAAATTGATACAACACATGCTCGATGCAATATTTGTAAGAAAATATTTAAAAATTGTGGGAATACTACTAACTTTTTGATACATATAAAGAAACAACATGAAGTCGAATTTAATAAACAATATTTAAGTGGTTCAGATTCTGAAGGATTATGTTCCGAGGATTCAAAATCAATCACCTCCACAAATGTCTGTGTTTCAGGTTAGTTAATAATAATAAGAACATTAATTATATCATATTTATCCTTCTTATATTATTTTATACTTATCTTTATTACATTATTTTCTTTATATTGTTTGGCTGTCTTTAGGTTCTATGTCTGAAAAAAAATCATTTAAAAATCTATTCAAAAGCGTTATTCCATACGATAAAAATAGTAAAAAAAAAAAAAGACTTAGATCAGAAACTCGCTATGATGGTAGCCAGAGATTTTCAGCCTTTATCTTTAGTTGAAGACGAGGGATTTCGTGAATTTATACATGCTTTAAATCCTAGATACAATATAATTTCAAGAAAATCATTAACTAACTCTATATTACCTGAATGCTATGAAATAGCAAAGAATAATTTGAAAACTTTATTAAGAGAAACTCATGCTGTTTCTTTAACAATAGATGGATGGACATCCAATGCAAATGAAAGCTATTTGGGTATTACGTGTCACTTTTTTAAAGTAACTAATTTTTTGACTTTGCATTCTACTACCTTAGATGTAATATTAATTGAAAAAGACGAGACTGCAAATAACTTAAGTCAGTTAATCAGAAACTGTTTAACTGATTGGGAAATATTTGACAAAGTGAATCATATTGTAACTGATAATGCAGCAAACATGAAGCTAACTGTTGAGTTGCTCAATAAAAAACATTTTCCATGTTTTGCACATAGTCTCAATCTCGTTTTGAAAAATGCTATTACAAAATGTAATAACAAAGAGGTTCTTTCAATTATTACAAAATGTAAAAACTTAGTCACATTTTTTCATCACAGTTCTAAGGCTAGTAGAATGTTAAAAGAAGCAAACAAAAAATTAGCTGAGGAAGGAGAAACTGTTCCTTGTAAATTAATACAATATGTAAGTATTAAGTAATTAATTTAAAAATGTGTCAACAGATTTTATTAAATATAAAAAACAATTCTTTTTTCTATATCTTTTCTATGTTACAATATATAGATTGACACAAGATGGAATACATTATATCATATGATCAATAGTATCATTGATAATCATAATGGTATTAAATTGATTCAACTAAATGACGAGTACTCAGAACTTCCAATTTTAACAAAAGAAGAAATACAATTAACCAAGCAAATAAATATGATATTAGAACCTTTTGAGCAAGCAACTAAAGATATTTCTGGTATGTATATATATATATATTATAATATATATTGCAAACTTTTTATCTGAATATAATATATATGAATCTTATTGAAAATGTTTTAATTTTTTAGGTGAAGATTATGTTTCTATTTCACTCGTAATTCCTTGTATAAAAGGCATAATATTAAAACTGGAAGCTATTCATAAAACATTAAGTTATCCAGCAGCACTTTCATTTTATGAAAAAATTCGACAATTTATTGACGAAAAATTAATACATTATGAACAAAGAACGATTGGCAAAGTAGCTACGTTGATTGACCCAAGATTTAAAAAAATAGGATTTCGTTCACAAGCAAATTACGAAGAAGCAGTTAACATGTTACAAAATCTTCTTGCTGCTCAATTTAAAAGTTCGGATCAAATTGAAAAAAATGTTAACCTAACTCACTTTATTAATAACAAGACAAACAATTGTAGTGTTGCCAAGCCTACTGGAATCTTCAGTTTTATGGAACATTCGTCGCAATCTTCTGTAGCTAATATTGATAATATTGTTTTAACAAGAAATTATCTAACATGTACAAATATTAATTTGTCCGAAGATCCTCTACATTATTTAAAAAATAGGCATCCAGAAATTTTTCAAATAGCCTTAAAATATTTATGTACTCCAGGCAGTTCTGTACCTGTAGAACGGTTATTCTCTACTACTGAATATATTATTTCTGAAAGAAGAAACCGATTATCTCCGAAAAATGTAAAAATCTTGAGTTTTTTGAATAAAAATTATAAACTTGTATATTAAACTATTTTAAATGCAAGTTTATAATTTTGAATAAATATTTTGAATAAATACTTTTCAAATAAAAATTTTTAAGTTGAGTTATTTAATATTTAATATTTTCATATATTTGAGTAATTTTTATTTATTTTGATATTCTTTTCCAAAAGTTGTATTAAAATAAGTGTGTTAAATAATTACTGATATAAAGAAAATAACAGAATTACACGATTATAATCGATTATTATAGTAGTCCAATCGATTCCTGTTTTTACTATAATCGATATAATCGATTTTTTGAAATGACCGATTATGCTCATCACTAAATAAGACCATCAAGATTTGATTATGAATCCGACTAAGCTTAAGAAGAGAAAAGCATCTTAAAAGACTTTGTACTTAAAGACAATCTTAAATATAAGAACGGACTATGGAATACCGTCCTTTATTTTGAAAAATGAGAATTTAAATTTAAAAAGAGATAAAATCTTTAAAAAACAAATCGATATCTGTCCTATCTTGTTTTTTAAAAAGTACACATTGTGATTATGTCATTTAAAAAGAAATAATTTAAAAAAAAAAAAAGTGTTATGTTCGTGACAAAAAATGTCGTTACATAATATAACAGCATGACATACAGAAATCTGACGCTCTAACTCAAGCCAACAAACATGAATTTTGTACTACGTTCGTCATATGATAATCTCAAAAATGTTGTATTTATAATAAGGTCGATATGACTAAATTAATTTTTTGACATATTAGCATGATATTGAAAAAGACTGTCGTACAGTCGAAACGTTTATCTTATCTTTTGTATATTATGACGTAAATTAATAATAAAAAATTTTTTAATTAATATCTTATAAGCTCGTTAAGTTGGCCTTTTATTATATCACATATTTTAGTAATTTAATAATTTATTGTTAATTATTATATATATATAATATATGAGGTATTATTTATGAAAGTGATCCACCCAAAGTTTTTCAATCACGCTGAAATTTGCAGAAAGTGTAGTCTTATCAAAAGTAAAATTATTCTTCAAGTTGTTTGGCCCACACTATACAGGCTCTGTGTTAACAGGGACTGGAATTTTTATCATTTTGACCGTTACGTCCAACTTCAAACGTTGATAAATTTCAGAAGACTACTCCGATTTTAAAAAATAAGGTGTGATTTCGAAAGGTTTTTTTACGTACTTTAATCTTGTAAAATTAGTTTTTTCTTTCAATAACAATTTATATAAGATTTTCAAAAAACAAAGTAAAAATCAATTTTTTCTCAAATTTAAACATCTTCGATTTTCTTCAAAAAAATCTTAAAAAGAAAGTATATTTCTCGATCGACGCAAGTCGAGACACAAGTCTCTGGTTCTCTTTATTTGACGGTGACGATTACGATAGATTTTGGAATAATTTAAAATGCTGCTTTGACTTGATCGATTCTTTATTACATTGCTCAGAGAGAAATAACTTGAGGCAGTGAGATAGGAATAATAATGTTCTTCTTTCGCCGAATACGTGACATTATATTAAGTAGTCCCCACGGGCGGTCTCGCAGGTCGCGAATTTTACCGAAATAAGTCGATCACTTCCTCGTGTCCTAAATCAATTCAACCCGATAACAATCAGTGCGTTATAAACGGAGCAAATATAATACTTAGTCTTTATAATAACACATACTCTCAAGATAATAACAAGCTATTGTTCGCTTTATAAGCTGTTTGTCACAACATTAACATAAGACAAGTAATAATAATATAACGACACAAAATATTATAATTCGATAAGTATGAAACAACTTCGTCGATGACTTATGCATACTTCGTATTTCTAATAGTATTTTTATTTTTAATGATTAAAAAAAGTATTTCAAATCAATCTTTTTGATCAATTTTTGCTTTATTTTAATTTATATAAATTTATTCTTTTATCACACAATCATGTAAAATATGATTTTTATTTACAGAAAAGAGATGTTATAATTTATTACTGCAATAACTAATTATTATAATTAATGCTATTATTACTATAATTAATAACTAATGCTATAATTAATTACTAATTATGCTTACATATAAACTTCTATAATCTAATCTTCTTTCTTTGATGAGAAATAACTTGGAACAATACAAATCCAAATCTCAATTATAATATTTATTAAATGTAATTTAAAAATATAATTTAAAAATAACATATACATATATGTATATTTTTAATATACATTAAATGACATTAAACTAAATAAATGAAACACATATATGTACTTCTTACTAATTTCCATTTCATATTACATTGACTAATTTTAAATAATTGTTTAAAAATAAAAATGTATATAAATAATACATCAAAGTTCTTCTGGAAAATGATAACAAAAGCTAAATTTATATTTTAACTAGCATTGAATTGATGATATATAATACAGATCTAAAAACTTCAAGATTACAAAAAGATATAAATACAAGTTTATTCTTTGTCTAATAAATATCTCACATTTTGCAATTTATCATTTCAACTTACTATTAAAGAAGAAAATAAATATTTTCAATTTCCTGCCGAAGTTAAGGTCCGTATTCATAGCCTGTTAGCCTTACATTTATAGAAATAAGCCTTAAATCGTAAGCAATAAACCAAAATTATAATATTCGATTTATGTAGATGCGGTCTCAATGTAATAATTTTTCGTTTTTAAGACTAATAATAAACCAACAACGATAAAATTCGATCAACAATCATCAACAAACGATTACGCATCGATTAGACCGTTTTTTAATTAAAAATGAGATTTTTCCGATTAACTAATGCTAATTTTTCTTTTTTAATAAAAAAAAAATATATAAATCAACAAACGTTGCAATTGGGCCAACAATAACCAACAACGACAACAACAAAATTTAAAAAGTCGAAGTTGACCGGCTGAGCTAATGGAGCTGTTCTATGTAGTGATGTATGTCTGTACCACAAATTAATAGACAGATCGCCAAAGGCCTGCCTAAAGAAGAAACCGCCATTTTCGTGCGATAGATTTTGCCCCTTATCGACACACTTTGCCCCTGTTTCGAGTCCGTGCTAAATTTCGTAGACTTTACCAAAAGACTTTGCCCCTGGTGCGACGCAGGCTAATTGATCATGAGACCAATTTGAGAGATTTGGCCCCGTTGTGTGTGTGTGGTGTGTGGTGTGTGAGAGAGAGAGAGAGAGAGAGAGAGAGAGATTTTACATATGCATATAATTGTGACGTGACGCTTTTGAGAGCGCCGTCACAAGGGCGAAAAGCCCGATCGGGTAGGACGCGGGGATCTGGAGCGCCCCTCATTTCGGGGAGGGTGCGATCCGTTTGCGTTTATTTCGTTTTTATTACCGTATTTTTGCGAGAATCGCAATTGCACGTAGCATCGGCCCGTCGATGCGCGTGCAACACGATTCGTAGGGAGAGCGACAACGACGGCCCGAGAGAGCGGCAGGAGAGGTTGTAAAGCAAGAGAGAGAGAGAGAGACGGAGGATGCCGGAATACCACAGCCGAGAGAGAAGGATGGATCGAGAGTAAGAGAGAGAGAGAGAGAGAGCACGGGACCGCGCGCAGTTAAGTATCAAGTAGCCGAATTTTTTATTATCTCTCGCGCAATGTTGATGCCGTACGGATATTCTAGGATACCGAGAGGACTCCGAGTCGCGCCTACACCTGGACCGCTCCTGGAGAAGGACGACGGAGGGCCCGGCCAGCCCTACCGCTTGTTCCCCAGGAGAAAAGCCAGGCAGGAACAAACCCGGAGAAAAAAAATCCTCTCGAGCAACAGGAAGATACCGGCGAGAGAATTACCCCGCTAGAGGGGGAGGCGGGGAAGACTTTAGGGCCCCGCCATCGACCCTATATCGAGGGAATGCGCGAGAGATCGGCGCGGCACGTAGGGTACCGAGGCGCGCGAGGCCCGGCTCTCACTGTTCGGTGTGCCTTAGAGCAGAGAGGGTGCCTCCAGAAACTCCCACACGTACGACCCGAGGACCAGAATTCGTCGCCAGAAACTGTAAGCCGCCTCTCGAGTAGTCGTAGATCCGTGTTTGTTGGTACCGTAGATATTG